ATCTTCACAATTACACTTGAAACATGTAACACATTGCTCTTAAAGAGAAAAGAAATACTTTCAAAATGATTTACCTTTTCGTTAAGTTACTGCTAGGACTAACATAAAACCTAGCGCAATGAGAAACAGTTATTGGGGACGTCATTATTTTGTTTCTGACACAAATTATTTAAGCACAGTTTTACTCATTACTAAAGTTCTGCTTCATTAGACATAACATCTTTCTTTGCGAAAAATAAATTTATTTTTCTTTATGTGTCAGTCTTAATACTTAAGGACATAAATTTTCTAAATCCTTTATATATATATATATATATAAAGTCTGCCTCTAAAGCCATTAAATGTGATATGGAGAAGTTTTAAACTGAGTTCACAGACATCTCGCTTTGAGCTTTACTAAAATAGGGTCTTTCAAGATGATGTAATACTTTGTACTAAGAGATTTTTACTTCCAATTAACGAGCAAAACCTACTGACTGACTGACTGAAATGTTTGTCATTTAGAAAAATTTAAATCGCGATACATTCAACTAACTCTCAAGGAAAAGAGAGCGAAGGAAATAAAAAGTAAGAAAATTGAAGATATAGAAGTTTAAGCAGTAAAGACAGGCTCATTAAGTTAAAGCCTATTTTTGTGGTACAACGTTTCCCCCTGCCTGGAAATATCAGTGGTGTGAGAATTTGGTATTATTCACTAAGGTTGCAACCGTAGTGAAAAGTCTAAAATGATAGGCCTAACCTTACGATAAATAAGCCAGCATTCAGTGGTTAATTTATTTATTATTCGTACACTCACACACAATGTATTAAACTGTTTTTCCTGTTAAAACAAACATAAATTACCGAGGCAAAAGTTTATATCAAAGATGTCCGTTAATTTCAGTAACCTATCTATAACAACTGTTTATAAAGACCTAATCAGAAGCGTGGAAGTAATTAAAATGCTATTTATTTTAAAGCATGAATGCACCGTGAATCTTAGCAAAGTGATCAGAAAATTGACAAAAACGACCCAAAATCTTCAGACAACTTTTCAAAAGCGCTTTGAACCGTTCTCTTTTACTTTCTTTTGTCAATTCGTTTAGTTTATTGATATATTAATCAGTAATATTTTAGTGTTAGATAGAATATTTTATTAGCTTTTTCTTATCTGTTGCTTTAATTTAATTGCATATAATACCACATTATATAATCGACAGACGATAGAGTCATTTTGGAAATAAACTATAGAGGGCGCTTGTCTACAGTGTATGGATAACAAGGCTTAAATCCCGGCTGTCAGCTGGTTGGAACCAGTCTTGGTTATCATCTGACAAGCTTTTGTGAACGCATGCACCACTAGAGAGTAAGTATTTGTCGTAGTCGGGACGTCACGTGAGTGACAACCTGCTTCATACTTTCTGCATGCCGTGGCTCTTCTGCAATTTGACAATTTGGCAGAGTGCCATCCGGCAAGGTCGACAGTTGTAGTTGTTTGCAGGCAGATTCTCGCGCTTCTGGCACAAGAGGCATCAAGACAGGTGGCAAGAAGCAACAATGTGGTAAGGGCTTATAGAACACAATTAATTTAGCACCACATGACAGACGATCTTTACTGAGATAATCAAAGGAGGTGAGATAAGTGATATACGATTGTAGATGTTTATTTGTATTTAAGAGATTTCGTAAAGTTGCCCTTCAGTAAGAAAAAGAGACTTTTTCCATGTAAAAAAAATGATGTGTAAAACTTGGAGAAGAAAAAAATTAATGAATTTAAAACACAATTAATAAAAGTTAGACTAGATATCTTGAGACCAGGTTACACTCTATATTGATTTAAGCAGTTTTTAAATAGATATCGAATAGAATCGTGAATACGTTTTGTTTTTGTTATTTTCAAAGAGATATTCTAAGATGCTTACAAAACGCTTCCACTGCTGAACTAGAATTGCCGATATGTTAAAAAGATAACAAAGACTGATAAAAGGTTTACCATATTCCAGTTATAGGTCATCAGGTTACCGATGTGGGGAAGTTATTTTCGGATTTTAGGTAGACTGATATTTTACTGCTGCATTTGTTCAGTAACATCCAAATTTAATGAAGCTATCAAACTAACAGGCCTTATAGAGCATCAATACGCTCTTCTTTTTGACGTGCAAAGCTACTCGAGGTCTGACTGTGCCAGCCTTCCCTGATTTAGAAGCTAGCTAGTCAACAACACCCATCGCCAGCTCTTGGGCTATACTTTTACTAACGAATATTTAGATTAAACTTAACATTATAACGCCACCACGGTTAAAGGGACGGGATTCGAACCGTCAACCCGCAGCTTGCGAGTCGGGCGCCCTAATCACTAGGCTATGCCAAGCCTAATATGTTTGTTTTCTGCCATCCTTAATATAACAACACCAAATAAAACAGCTATTCAAACGAACAGCATATTAGAATTATCAAATTAAGGTTATGAGGCAACTTTTTTATTGAACTTTCTAAAACATTACAACGTGTAATATTCCCTATTGAGAATATGTACATATAACCAATTAATGAAACTAACTCTTTTTGTGTATATATATATATATATACATATAGCCAATTAATGAAACTAACTCTTTTTGTGTGTATATATATATGTATATACATATAACCAGTTAGTGAAACTAAGTTTTTGTGTAAATATATATACATATAACCAGTTAGTGAAACTAAGTTTTTGTGTAAATATATATACATATAGCCAATTAATGAAACTAACTCTTTTTGTGTAAATATATATACATATAGCCAATTAATGAAACTAACTCTTTTTATATATAAATATATACATATAACCAGTTAATGAAACTAACTCTTTTTGTGTATATATACATATAACCAATTAGTGAAACTAACTCTTTTTGTAGTATATATACATATATAACCAATTAATGAAACAAACTCTTTTTGTGTATACATATAACCAATTAATGAAACAAACTCTTTTTGTGTATATATACATATAACCAATTAATGAAACTAACTCTTACAGAAAGAATGAAAAATATGTTTTATTTTTAGTCCTGAAATCGCTTACGACCTTAGATGATAATATATCATCAGTTATTCTCGAACAGCTTTTAACTGGTAACGCCCATCTCCTTTCCAGGGAGTTCTTCCTATTTTATCAGTGAAAGACTAGGGAAAGGCAGCTAATTAACACCACCCACCGACAACTTTTTGGGTAATGTTTTACCAACGAATAGTGGAATTGACCATCAGACTATAATGCTCCCACGGCTAAAAGGGGCGCGCATGTTCGGCGACGGGGACTCGGACCTGCCCATATCTTTACTTACAAGACACAAAAACTATCTTTTTTTTTGATAATTATTTAACACCATTCCTCATCTCTAGCAACTTACGTCCACTCATTAAACATTTCCTTCTAATTATTTAACACCATTCCTCATCTCTAGCAACTTACGTCCACTCATTAAACATTTCCTTCTAATTATTTGACACCATTCCTCATCTCTAGCAACTTACGACCACTCATTAAACATTTCCTTCGAATTATGAAAACGTTACATTTCTTTGTCCTAGAGTAAAATCATAACATTAAACAGTCTACGATACGCCTCATGGGTACATTTAAGCAACTGTTCCAATATATTTATTAAGAGCTAAAGCCTGAACTGCAGCGTTCAAACCTTAAGGGAGAAACTGACAATATTAGCGACACGGCGGTGGAACGCTATATCCGCCAGCTGCCAGTGCATAGCGTCAATAAAACACACTCAAAGTCAGGACTGTCAGCTCTATCTCTCCAACTTAGAAATGTGCCGACTTCTAAGAGTTTGATGTCTAATATGTCGTACTTTGCTTATTAATACTGAAAACTCCATTGTGCGTATTGATTGTTTGATACGTTGTATCTGTTTGCCTTCCAAACGTGTATCACGAATCTGTATGTGTATTCCACTCTGTTCCCATGCAGTTTCTGCGGTAATTTCTTTATATCTTGTGTTAAATCCATTGGTATTTTGAACCAAAATTGCCATTTTAATCTGGTAAACTCCATGATTTTTTAAATATGCTTTTTTCATTGGAAAAACTTTTTAATGATCATTGAAACTGTTGTATACGTTTTCATGGAATACCAGTGACCATAAAATATTTATACATTCAGTTTTTTTTTGTATAATAGATGTCAAATGCTATTAGGAAACACAAAAAGCTACGCATTAGTTCATAAACATGGCTGATTGTCATGCAAGAAAGCTGCGGTTATCTTTGGTACTGGTATTTTCAACTGGAATGGCAACTTAAGCAACATGTGGGCTAACCAGCCAAGACAGAGACTTCATGATTCAGGATAAACTATCATTAATTTAGTATTATTAGTAACCTAGCATATCCTGATGATTGAGGCACTCGACTCACAATTTGCGAGTCACGGGACTGAAACCCGGCGCCGAACATCTTCACCCTTTTAGCCGCTGAGGCGTTGGAATGTGACGGTAAACCCCCGGTGTTATTTTTCTTAAGATAGTCCAGTGGATATTATGGGTTGGTTTTCTTTTCTCCTGGTCGACAGTAAGAAGTTAGGGATGACGATTATTCGCTTTAGCTTTGCCATAAACAAAACAAAACAATCAGTACTGCTAATCAGAAAGTGAGAAATCAATCAGTAGCATTTACAACTGCTTTTAACCGAATAGCGGGATGTATTACAAATATAGTGTTCTCACAGCTAAAAGTGCGGAGCGTATTCAGAGGTATATCACAGCTCGAGCCTTGGAATTTCTAATCTGCAGCTCGAAACGCTACCCACCAGGCCATACCTATGCCTTAGCCGTTGTCACTGAACACAACTGTCTTTCTTTCTTTCTCTACAATAGACGTAAAAACTATAGATTAGTGATTCTGTTGCAGTGTTATCAAGATTACCATAGGACTGAGCGTGGCCCAATGGTTAGTGCGACGGACTGCGAATATAAAGTTCTAAAGTTCGAGTCGTCATACTCCACTGAACACACCTTCAGCTGTGGGTACAATATAAAAAAATGGTTGATCTCACTGTCTGGTAAAATTTGCTATGTAGGCGGTGGGTGTCGCTGGTTGTTGCCCTCTCTACGATAAGAGCTCTAATATAAGGATGGCTATGGACGAATCTTAGAGTATCTTGGCTGTTTAAGATATGCATCGCATAAAGTGCAGTTTAAATTGAAAGCACAAAACACTTACATGCCTATTCCTTCATGAAGGCAATGGTCTGGTGGTTAGGACAATCGACTTGCAATCTGTAGGTCGTGGGTTCGAATCTCTTCACCGAACATACTTACTCTCTCAGCCGTCCGAGCTTTATAATGTGACTGTCAATCTCACTTTTCGTTGGCAAAAAGAGTTGCCCAAGAGTTGGCGGAGGATGGTATTCAATAGCTGCCTTCCCTCTAGTCTAACACTTCAGAATTTGGGGCGGCTAGTGCAGATAGCCTTCGGGTAGCTTTGAATGAAATTCAACAAAACAGACAAACAAACCTTCATAAACTACAAGTGTCATTAAAATTGGCAATAAATGTGATTCTCTCTACTGATTACTTGAACAATTTGTTTTGAATTTTCGCGCAAAGCTACACGAGAGCTATCTGCGCTAGCCGTCCCTAATTTAGCAGTGTAAGACTAGAGGGAAGGCAGCTAGTCATCACCACCCACCGCCAACTCTTGGACTACTCTTTTACCAACGAATAGTGGGATTGACCGTCACACTATAACGCCCCCACGGCTAAAAGGGCGAGTATGTTTGGTGTGACGGGGATTCGAACCCGCGACCCGCAGATTGCGAGTTGAGTACCCTAACCACCTGGCCATGCAAGCTTTTTTTTTAAACTTACCCAATGGACAGATTCGGACACCAAAGTTTCCTACCGAAATGGTACCATACCAACCATTAACATTTATTTCTAATTGAAACTATTTATTTGTTATAAACATTACTGTAGTTTTTCCAATTTCACTGGTGAAATAATGAATTATCTACGAAGTAGATGATGAAGTACTGGCAAGGTTTAACTGAAACTCTGTAAATGATGGCTACCGCTTTTAACAAATGCGTTTTGGCAAATGCTACTGGATCAATATACTTTGTATATATGTTCACTATCTCAGATGACCAGATATATATATACAAATGTATTGAAAAAATATTGTTGAGTTGGTCTACTTCTGTATCTGAGAGAAACTTTGAAACTATGTGCATGATGGTTACAAAGTATTATGTTTACGTATTTACCCACACACTGATATCTATTTTCTTCTTTAGGGAATCAACAACTCTTCTATTTCACACGTTTTTATGTACGATCACGATGTTGGTTATTTTTTTAATCTCATAATTTGCTAACATCAGTTGAACATCAAACCGCGGAATTCTGCGTTACGCGTATAATGTTGGGATGATGTGGCTAATAACGCGAATTCTTCTCTGCTTCTCGTTTATTTCACGTTGTTACGATTGTTGCTATACATGAACAGTTTATTCCACTGTCTGGCATAGACAACAATCAAGCAGTACGCTTCTGGCTACACTGTTTGACATAGACAACAATCAAATAGTACTCCTCTGGTTCTACAGTCTGACATAGACAACGA